GTAGACGCCGTCGAGCCCAGCCTTCCTTGACCGCGTCGCTCCAGCGCGGGCTGCGATGCGGCGTTCGGCTCGACGCCAAAGACCCTCTGGACGCCTCCCGACCTTGGCGAACATGTTCACCCACATGCCCGAGCCGGCGCCCAACCTCGATGACGACGCCGCGCACGCGGAGGGCCGCGGCGGCGGCCCTGTCCTCGTCCGAGTCGCCGTCGACGATCTGCCCGCCGCGGACGCGTCCTTCGAGGAGGGACCCCACGCGCACCTGGCCCCCCTCGCGCACGCCGGGCCCTGCCCATGCCCAAAACCGACCGAACCACGCTGCCTGCAGGCGAGGCCAGCTGAAGAGGGTGGAGACATCACGGGCGCGGAGGAGAGCAAGAATCGTCGGGGGCAGATAGTATAGGGAACAAGACATGAAGAGCCAGGGGTCGATGAGACCCCAGAAGATGGTCCCTAAGGAGGTCATGACGTTCTGCACTTCTGTCTGGTGGCTCGCCGCAGAATGACAGTTGGTGGTCTGATGTTTCGTTTTGTGGCCGCAGAAAGGAGGAGAGAGGAGGAGAAGGGCGGGGGAGGTGGGAGCAAACTTGTGAGCTGGGATGGCTGGGCAAGGATTCTTTAAATATCCATCATCATTGCCTCGCGGTGGGCAGTGGGCGCGGGCTTGGTAATCAGGAGAATACGCAGTAAGCGGGGCCGCCAGCGGCTTGCCAGATGCAAGTAACAGGACCGGTAACGTCTTTCTATCTCGACGCTTTCTGAGGCTAACGTCTGATGCGGTGGGCAGCCATTCGAGCTGACTATCACAGCCGTGATAATCCTTGTGAGGCATTTGGATCGTCGTCTGGAGGATTGCTAGCTGTGTTTACGCGTAACTGTGTGCCCCTAGTCACTCGGCATTTGTTACTCCGAGTATCTTTCGACTGGCAGACATGATCTGGCATTCATCTATCGCTGCTGTACATCCCTTACGAAGATCCCCCATCCTGCAGGGAACTGTTGGCATTGCCATTTTCAAGCATCCAATGCGACGTCTGGATGGAGATTGCTCAGTCTGCCAACCATCCCATGGTCTAGGCTGGCAGATATCCAGGCCCTTGCAGCGTGCTCAACCAAGAGCACTCTGGTGTGTTGACCCGTAAATCTCGCAAGATTGCTCACATTGCGAAGGGTCGATTCCTCCAATGGGGAGGCGGGTTGAGATATTCTACTGTTTCACCACACACCTGGACGCCAACCGCAATGGCATGACTAGGACAAGTGAGCGATCGTCAAGTAAAGGTTACTTGTCTCCCCATGAGGCTCTTGAACGCGTCGTCAACAGCTTTGCGCTTGCGCTGCTTGGCATCTTCGTCATCGTCGTCCGGGGCTGCCTCCTGGGGGTCGTCATCCTCTGGCCCTGGAAGCTGCGGCATCCAGACACGGATCTGCCCGTCCAGATGAGCTGTCAGAATCGCACCAAAGGAGCTTCCACTACCCATGATGGTACCGTTCTGAAGTCCCTGTCCACCAGCACCTCGCCAGACCATGCTCATGGTTCGGTTCTTGATGTTCAAGCCTCCGGCTGCCTGGCCACTTGCCACGTTTGGTGGACCCGGCACACGCAGCCGTGTCAACAGCGTGCCCTCGTGCAGGTCAAGGACAAGAATCTCTTGTTCGTTGGGCCAGAAAAGGAGATCCCTGTGGCCAGCTGTCAGGCCTGACGGGGATGCGAACAGACTGGCTGTGCCAGCACTGCTGTTTTGGACGATGGACCCAAAGCTTGCCAATGTGTTGGCACCCGTCGCAGCGTCCCATACACGTATTCGGCGGTCCAGGCCTGCTGATACAAGGTACTTGCCGTCATCGGTCCAGCAGAGGCCATTGACGGAATCATCGTGGGCTCGCGCAGCGGCCCGGGAATGAGGTCCGTCGTCCCACGACATGCCTGATGCCATGGCGTGGTCGAACCGGTGGACAATGCCAAGGCTGTCTTCGTGATCCAGCATGCCAATCACACCGCTGGCCCGTCTGACGTCCCAGACGCGGACCCGGCCATCAGCATGGCCACTGGCGAGCACGTGCTCGTGCCTGGGGCTCCAGGCTACGGACAGGACAGCCCCTCCCTGAGCAGCGAGGGATTGAACAGCAGAGCCCGATTTGAGGTCAACAAGACGAACGGCGGAGTGCTGGGTGGCGCAGGCAACAAGCAAGTGGCCTGGGAGTGGACTCGTAGCGTGGCTATGTATGACCGTCTCGAGATCAAAGCTGGCCGACGTGCGCATCTGCTTGGTGGACCAGAGCTTCAGCGTTCGATCAAAGGAGCTGGATAGGAAGGCGTCGGAGTCAAAGGGGTAGAAGCCGAGATGGGTGATGCCGTGCTTGTGACCATCGGTGCTGTCACGGGCGGATCGGGGCACGTCGGCAATGGGCCGAAATGTATGGCGCTCATGGGGGTTGCCGCAGTGGTCGAGATCCCAGAGTCTTAAAGCACCGTCGGCACCTCCTGAAAGCAAGCTATGTGATCGTCAGCGCCAAGAACACCGAACGAATGCTGTTGCGTGCGCCTCTGTGACAGCTTACTGACGGCCGTCGAACTTGTCCAGTGCTAGCGCATTGACACCGGCGCGATGCGCCCATATGCTGGCAGTCCGTGAAATACCCTGCTCGTCTGTCTCGCCATCGAAGCGATGTTGTGGCGCGTGAGTGAAGCTGCGCAGAAGCTCTGTCGTGGTGCTCCGAGCCAGGGCCTGAGGGGTCAGGTCACCGGTTGAACGGGCATATAGGCGGTCCTGCATTCATCAAATCGATTGCGCCCGAGACGAGGCCTCGGTGTGTCGACGAGCGTATTCGTTTCTTTATCCGGATTTACAATGCTGGAAAAGCTGTTGCCAGCTAGATATCTACCTACGTCGAACGTTCGTGAGATGGATGAGTTGTGCAGACGTTGGCGAACGGAACAGCCAAGCGCGAGTGTGTTTCCCCAGCCAATTGCAATGGCATGATCGCTGGACTCGGCCTCAGGTGGGTCTCGAGGGGTCTTGAGGCGGCTTGATGGGATGGAGAGGAAGGCGACTGGCGGACGCGCCTGGCCTAAGCTCTAGGCGACACCTGCCCGCGCTTTTACTTTCTGAACCAGATAGGCAGGCACGCTTGGTACGGTACCTGAAGTGGATATCTAGCACCTTGTTCTTGCCCTCTCAACATTTCAACTTTGCATTTCGAACCAGGCACCATCCTCGCTCGCCTGGTATCCACGACGATAGAGATTGGGAACAGACGGCCACTGTTGCACGACTTACCCCGCCGCCGCTTGCTTGCCTCATGCCTCATTTGTTGTCGGTTCGAATCCCAGCCACGGACCATCGCGATTTTGCACTGTACTGAACGGCTTCCATCATGTCCGAGTCCCGCCGTCAATCTCCTGTCGCGGGAGCCTTGGACCTTATCGAGGCCGACGCGGACGACGCGGAGACTTCGGATCCCACGCCTCGAGATTACAGGGCCTGGCGGCAGGCAAACGTGTATGACGCCGTGGCAGGTTTGTCACCACTTACTCAATCCATGCTGCGCCCTGAGTAGCTTACTTGCTCGCACAGGTCGACTCACCACCACAACGAAATCCTCCCGAACGGCGATTCAGGATCACCCTCGTCCTGGAGTTGATCGAGCACCACGCCTGAGAAAGGCCACCGTCCATTCTTCCATTCTTGCTCCGGAAGAAGCTCTCTTCCGACGCGGCTTGGCTCCGGAGCGTTATGCAGAGCACGACGTATACATGGCGCACGAGCGTCGTCTCCCAGACGGCACGGCAAGCGCCCTTCCTGACAGTGATCTGGTCAAGGCTATTCACACATACTCTGCCCACTACTACTCCGCCCACTGTCGCACTGTAGCCTCTGCACAGCCTGTCGGCAACCGTCCTATTGATGAGACAAGCATGGACGAGACAGCGCTGCTTGCTTTTGGCATTCTGTTAGAGGAGGCCGGGCGTGCGCTGGTCGGAAAGCAAGGCGACTTGGTACTGACTGAGGGCCTGGAACTCCAAGCTGAGCCCCGAGCAGAGCGCCCCGGTCAAGTCCAGCTTGACCACTTGGTACAGAGTACCGTGAGCTTTCAGACCATGGGATCTTCCAGACAACGGAAAAGACGCAAAATGACCGATTTCAACGACGATTGACAATGTCCGTGATCGCAGGACCTTTCTCCATCATGGTTTGCGACTGGTCAGATATCACTTCGGATCCGTCCAAGTTGGCGTCGCAACGGGTCGAGGTCCTACCCCATCACGCAGCCCGCACGTTTGCTCTGGCCAACAGGTGCATAATTTTCACCCAAACCAGCAGGTACGGAAGCCCTTGAGCTGGGATGCAAATAGAAATGCCGCGCTTATTACTGATGAGCATCGGCATATCGAAGCGCTCTCGTCTTTCTCCTGGCCAGATGCCGGCACCGTCTGGGGCGGTTGCAATGTTGAATATCGGACACGGACGCAGCCCCGATCACCAGCCAACTTCGCCAGGGTTGCATCGCGCGGACCAGACCCTTGACCCGTACCACCCCCATTAAATCAGACAACCCTGCATGCGTAGATCGGTCCCCGACGTGTGAGCAAACGGACACCGACTTGAGAAGCCGTCTACATGTTCAGGTGAGAGGCCACGGGCAAGAACTCCCATCGGTCATCTAGTGCTCCCAGGAGGACCCTTGAGTCATACCAGTGTCGCTCTGACAGCGTCCGAGAACCCCCCCGTAGAATACCAATTTCAACGTTGGGCTCCGAGATCAACACCAACCCGTAATGTGGCGGCGCTCGCGATCGCTAATTCCACCCTAGTCGTGGGGTTCCTTTGGGGCGCACGCGACAAATTTCCGCCCGGCAGGTGGCCCATCTCGTATCACGCTGTCGCATCATGTTGTACATCATTCGGAACGCCCGGTGGGCAAATCATCTTTGAGCCAGGCCACAAAGGACGTACTTATCACAACGCTGCGAACTCGCTGACTCGAATTCGCCTTCATACTCGGATTGCTTACAAGTACCGCCTGCTCCGTTGCTACGGTGGTGGATTTTGTATATGGTACCTGCCCTGCAAGGCTAGAATGTCAGACGTCCCGTCGTATGGGTGCTCTGTCTGCGCGGCCGTGCCATCCGTCATATGACCGACCGGTTCAACGCCAAAAAAGGGTCTTACTCAATCCTCATATGGCGACCTCTTCAAAAGCAGGAATTGTCTCGTGGCAATGACTCAGACTTGTCGACTACGGGAGCACTCTTGCCTCAATTACACCAATGTAATAAAGGTCATTATCATGACCTCGTAAAGTTTTGTCCTTGTTTTCGATGTGACTTGGGGCTATTTACCCGTTTTAACGATATACGCTTGCCGCACCACGTGGTATCAGGCCGATGGTGCACTGTCAATGCGGCTCCGCGGAGACTCAAAAAAACAAAAAACAAAAAAAAAACGATCATGACTATCGTTGGGCAGCATCAGATTATGCAGGGACAGTCCCAAGTTTCACGTCTCGGTCGCTGTTGGTCGGTGACGGCCCGATATGTCCAGGGCTTGAGGAGGTCTCAAGTTCTACGGCCACAGTGTGGCCCTGGCCGAAACAGGTCCAGATACGACGTCAACACATTTGAGGGAGTATCAGCACGGCAGGTGAAGGTTTACCCAGCCTATCCAAGCAGGGCCTGCGATGCGCCACACAGCCATGGAAGCCTCTGCAAAGCTGGTAATTACACATCTGGCTGAGTTCTCGTCTCCGACACTGCCGGTGACGCCTCCGCCAGCAACGATCAAATATGCTCAATCAGGCACAGCTGATGGCTGGTAGATCAGCGACATGCCCTGCAGCCAAATCTCCCTCCGCTTGGTAAATGCGAAAAGCCACAAAGGAGACATCCGGACCCTGAGAGTCAGTCGATACACACAATCCACCCCTGAGATTCTCTTGCCATGGCACCGGATCTGACGCGGAGTCTTGATTGGGCATCTGTTGCTCAGGGATCATTTCCAGAAACTGGCGAACCTCTCGGCTCCCTTGCGAGCAACCAGGCACATCGCCATCAGGCTCAGCTGGCCATGGACAGTGGAGATGCATGATCTTCTAGAAACCGACCAACGCCCGCCACCTGCTTCGCCCCCGCAGTGGCGAAGGGATAAGGCAAACGAGCAGGAATGAACATGTTTCGCAGACCTACCCAGCGCGCATGAGTGGTGCACTCTACAATCGTCTGGAGGGCAACACCACCACACTGACTCGCAAAATTCAGCTTACCCGCAGCACATGACGGCAAAGTAGCTACCTCTGTGTGACAGAAGAGCGGTGACAGCGAACACTCCAGACGGCCCTGATTCAACGCGCTATTTATCTAACTCTGGAAGCGGTGGGCGCGATCAGCACCTAGCGGTCTCCTCACAGCCGACGACAGGCGACACTCTGCATGTCGATGGACAGCAGTACGCCGATATATCCGCGGCATCTTTGGGCGCCGGAGCAGGAGCGCGAAGCACAGGGCAGCAGACACAGACAAGGTCGACCGGGGTCCAACCCCGCTTCGTCACGAGGTCTACACTTACAGTTGCTCAGTGGTAGTCGACATTGGCATAGCGGTACGCGAAGAATCAATCATTCAGACACGCTTTAAGGTCCAAGGTCTACATGTAACAGGGGTGGCCAGCCTCGGTATTCCTGTTCTCCAGGCAAGAGCTCAAGGTATCGTGGTTTGATTATTAATAGAGGCTGCTCTCATTTGCCATAGAAGCCGGTCGTGTATGGTGGGTACGTCTGGGCGTTCATTCGCGAGATTCTTCAATTTGCTTTTTCTCACTATGAGCTAGCTCGATCAGCACTCCGATACCCCCCGGCAAGTCCGAGCAGTGGCCAGCCGATGGCCGACCCGTCGGTGCGAGACTCGATTGTCATGCGAAAACACTCACATGTACCAACGACACGCTGCCTGCATGACGCCGACCGCTGTTCCGCTACTTGCAGCGATTCCTTGCACGAGTCCCAGCGACGGCCTTTGAAAGGTTACATGCAGATGAAAGACGCATTGGTGAGGATTGTACATGTACTTGTAGGTTCGCATGGCGATGAGCAGGGCGGGCCCGGGCAAGGCCAACCTTGCAGAGACAGACACACCCCTGACAGCCACAAGGTTCGGTACGGTCCTGTTCTGGTAAACTACAGTAGTCGGTCAGCATGACTTGCGCGTGGCCTGGCTGGCGGCGGGCGGCGAGCGGGCGCTCGGCGGGCTTTAACCCGTTCAGAGCATGGTGTGGCCAAAGAAGGTTTGGGGTCGTTGAGGCCAGAAGCACTGCCTGGTCCTGACGGGCTTCTTCCATCCAGCCAACAGTGGCGGGGGGCCGACGGCCTACCAGGATGCTTACCTAGCAAGTAGCTGGTCTTCGTGCCCGCACACATCACAAGGAGACTCAGCTGCGCAATTCCTGGTCGCGTCGTGGTTTTCGCCGCCATCGCCCCGTCGAGGACGTCGTTTTTTTAACGAGATGAGGATAGCTTGGTGGACCATGTTCGAACTCCACAGCGACCAAAAGTAGTCTCGGGAGTTTTGGGCAACCCAAGCACGCATGCTGGCTTGCTGAGAAGCTCCAAACGGGGGGGAGGATGGCGGGCGAGCAAAGGTCGCAAGGGTTGTCATGGCGGAGGAGGGCAGAAAGAGGGGGTTCGACAAATGAAAAGCAGATAGCACCAGGGGACAGGATCACCATCGCCCACCAAGCTGCGACCCGAAGGAAGGGAAAGGGCCCCCTCGCCTAGCCCTTGGGCTTCAAGCTCGAGGGGTGGGCAGCCTTTGGTGGTCGACCTCAAGCCCCTTCCCAGTTCCCACCCACCATCGGCTGACCGTTTACCGAGGGTGGTCACCATCCATGTGTTTACGTACAAAAGTATCCTCTGGGCGGAGGAACTGTCCGCAAGTACCTCCCTAAGGTACCTACAGCACGTCGGCTGCCCGACCTTTCGGTTGCCTGGCAGCCAGAGCCAGGTTGGGGCAGCTGTCGTGCTGCTCACAGCATCTGGTCTCCCAAGTACCGGTCTCCTGGTGCCCGGCGACCCAGCCTCCAGACGCGGCCGTTCTGGCGTGTGCGCGCGCAGCGCGGCACCTCCCTAGTCATGCACGCAAGAGGCTGTCGCCTCCCCCTCGTCGGGAGTTGGAAAACGCAGAGGCGGCAGAGGTCGCTGGAGTGTAATGACTGAAGGCGCGCTCTGGCACGGCCGAGTTTGTTTGCTAGACAAGGCCAGTTTGATGTGCCAGGATCAATTGGTCTTGCGTACCTTGTGTAGGGCAAGGCAGAGAGGGATGATACACCCAATTGCGAGCTTGAAAGAGATGTGTTCGCCTTGCTGTACATGTAGCGTCATGTCAGCCTCGTCTCAGGCTGCATCTACCGACGTACTGCTACATGTACATCGCCCACACATGACCTGGGCTCGCGAACCAAGGTACATGGTACCTTGCCTGCCTCCGCACCTGCCGCGGTGTCCCAAACAGCGCTCGCTTCCTTGCGGTAATCTCAGTACTTGTGCCTACCTACCTACCTATAGTACGGTATCCGAGCGTTGGTTTTTCCACGTTCAATCTTTAGGTTTTGGTTTTCCTTTTGTTTCCCCCGCCTCCCAAGTTGAGCTTGCCGCATCTGCAGTATACCATGTACATAGTACATCAGTGCTCAGGAGAGGTAAGGCAAGGCAAGGTGTACATGGTACGAGACGGACGAGCGAGCGACATTGCAGATCGGAACGGCCCTGTGGAGGTGCCTACTGTAGGCACCTAGGTAGGTAGGTTTCTAAGAAACAGGAGCAAGCAGCGTGCGTGGCAGGAACGTAGGGACGGACTGCAGGACGAATGACGGAAAGTCGAGGCGGGGGCAGGAGGTACCCGGCGCTACCTGCAGCAGTGACCAAGTGACCAAGTGACCGCTGCTGGCTGACCGCCATTGCCTATTTCTGCTGGAGGGACTGGGGCTGAACCAGACCCCAGGAGCAGGGACCCAGGAAACCAGGACCTGCCTGGGATTCGACATCATCGTCCACCGCCGCTTGACCTTGACCTTGACCTTGACCTTGACCTTGTCCCAGACCTCGCTCCGTCCCCGACACACTTCTTCTTCCAACCTTCATCAACCAAGGCAGAAGCAGAACGAAAAGGGTAAGGGAAGAAAGGGGAAAGAAAGGAGAAAGGGAAAAAAAAAAACCGCTCGTCGACTCGCCACCTCACACCGCACATCGACATTGCGCGCACGCACACACATGCACCCACAGACACGCCAATTCCCACCTCCGCCCCCGACCAGCCATCAATCCATCCGTTCATCCATCCATCCATCCCTCCCTTCGCTCCCCGATCCCCTCTTTCGTTCCAGGTCAGGCCTGACAGCGACGAGCGTGTGCATCGCCGAACCAGCGACACGGCCCCATCCATCTCTGCCCAACCGCTGATCCCTTCCCATCCTAACCCCTTCCCACCCCGGATTTTCTCGCACCTTTGGGCACCTGTCGGCCAACTGAATACGCCGTCAGGGCAGCGCCCAGTGCCCAGCACCAGCACCCAACACCCAGCATCCAGCACCCTCCCAGGTACCTTGCGTCGTGCCCGGCACCGAGCACCAAGCACTCACTACGCACCCAGCGCCCAGCGCCCAGCACCCAGCACCCAGCACCCAGCACGGCGTAGCGCAACGAAAAGCCAACGCCGCGACAGGGCAAACACGGCGCGGAAATCCTTCCTCACCCTCTTGCGCCTTTCCACCCCCCCCCCCCCCCCCCTCTCCCCGGACGAAAGAAAAAAAAAACAACGCCAGTGCCAGTTTCAAAGAACCGCCATCCCGGAAATATCGCCCGGACCCTGACTCTCATTCCGCTACCAGTCGTCCTGACTTGACACCTACCGACTCAGGTCCCTCCTTTCCCACCTGACGGACGCCAGACGTACCTGTACGAGCACCTGGTACCAGCGACTGTACCTGTACCTGCACCAGTGGCCCGTACCGCTCGCTAGGCACCGTACCTTGCCTTCGCCGGGGGGCCAATTAGACGTCTGGCCTGTCATAATTTCTCCCGCCCCAGCAGCCATCGAAGCAACACCCTGTGGTTCTCTGGTTTTCTGGTCCAATTGCTGCCTCAGACTACCTCCCAGATCTCTCTTCTCACCTGCCCAAAGCTTTTTTCCATGGGCACGGCGTCTCGAATCCAGGTCTGACCTTCTTTCCGCCTCCGCTCTCGCCGCCCTCCGCCGCCGCCGCCTGCTCCTGACGCCTGACGTCCTCTCTCCCCCTTCCCCCCCCCCTCTGCCCCCCCCAAGCCCAGCGAGGAAAGCTTTTCGCTTTGTATTGATGTACATATAATACCCAGCATGGATCCGGGGCCGCCTGACCACAAGCGCCCTCGTCTTGATACGGGCAATAACCATCCTTGGACCTCCAGTCTTCCACAGCCCACGCCCTCACAGCAGCCTCAGCCCGGCGGGCCTGGGCCGTACTCCCACCCGCATCAACAGTATCCGCCGCGCGCCGCCGAACCTCACACACGCTCCCTGCCGCCGCCGCAGCAGACATCGCAGCAGCAACAGCAACAGCAGCAGCAGCAGCAGCAACAACAGCAGCAGTCGCAGCCTCCGCCGCCCCCTCCGCCGTACGCCAACGACCGTCGACACCATGAGCAGGACCCGTACAATCCTATCCAGGATCACTTTCGCCCGCCCCATTCTCCTGCGCGCGCGCCCAACAGCAACAACTACGCCTTCCCGCCTCGCGATCCCGGTATAAAAAGGGAGATGTACGACGAGTCGGCTGTTGCGCCACGCCGTCCTCACTCTACTGGTGCTCCAGACGGACATCCCCCCGGCCACCCAATTGCGCCGCCTCCCCATTCCTCGTCCCATCCGCTGCCCATCTCGAACCACTCCACGCCAGGGCCTCCTCACCATTCTCACCCGCCGCCGCCGCCGCCGCAGTACCAGGACGACTCACGACGACCCATGGGCTACGACGCGCCCCCGACTCCAGTCGCGTACCGCACCAGCTACCCACCACCCCAGCAACCCATCCCGCAGCAGTCACCGTACGAGCAGACTGCCTATCACGCCCCGCCCCCAGAAAACGTATATGCCAACCATGCCTCGTACGCGGCGACCCAGAAACGAAAGGCCACTCGGGCATCACAGGCCTGCGACAACTGCCGTCAGCTCAAGGCCAAGTGCGACGAGACACGCCCGTGCAAGACATGCCGAGAGAAGAATGTCGAATGCAAATATCGTGACCCCATCCCCAAGCCCACCGACAAGACCCAGACGGACATTCTCGAGGGCATTGCCGACCTGAAGAGCATGTTGTCCGCACGCTTCGACAGCGTTGAGAAGAGGATAGGCAGGCTCGAGAGAGGGGCCGGTCCGGCCCGGAGCCGGATCAAGTTGGAGCACGATATGGAAGGTATCGAACAGGGAGTCTCGCCCCATCCTGTCGCCGACGGAATCTATGATACAGCGGAGATGCAAAATAACTCGCACGGTCCGCCGACTGTGTACGGCACGCCTCAGGGTGTCTATACCCCCGTCGAAGCGAGCGACGACCTACCGCATACGCGCGATGTGGATTCCGCTGATGAAGCCCATCTGCCGGACACAATCATCGAAGATGAAAGGGACGATGACCTAACTGAAGAGCCGCCCGGTCGCGCCCGGCCTCCGGGGCAACCGTCGATTCCAGTCAACCACACAGTGTCGGCAGGACAACTTCTCAAGTGGCCCGCCATCAAGGCCCTGACGCACGATCTCCTCCACAAAGGTGGCGTCAAGTTCGCAGAGGACTTCCCCCTCACGACCGAGGAGAACAGGGGCCCTCTCCGACTGTACGGCCGGGGCGAGGGCTACGGCCGAAGGCAGGGACAGCATTCCGAGTATGGCGTCCTCGACGTGGACATGGAGAGCGTCTCAGAGCCAGGTTCGTCTCCTGCCGGGCAAGCCGATTGGGGTCAACTTGGTAGCCTCAGTCCCGGCGTCGACTATACAAGCTCGAACCTGACGCCGCATGGCATGCCCGACTTTAGCGAAGCCAAGGTGAATCAATACATTCAGAGCTTCCAGGACAATATTCTCAGCCTTCATCCCATTTTCCCGCCACGGCACCTCAACGTATGGGTGAAGAACCTACTGGATCAGACGGCCGTGAAGAAGAGCCGCGGCCAGAAGCTGTCTGGTGTGGCCAAGTTCGCCGAGGAGCAGGCCTCGCAACTCGCGCCCAATGAGGCAGTCGGAATCAAGCGCAAGCGGTCGCCGACTGGCGGCAGCGACTCGTACGACAAGGCCACATCGCCGGGGGCGAAGCCAGGGAAACCCTACCGAACTGTAGACAATGCCTTGGTTTTCGCCGCGCTCGCCCTAGGGAAACTGTCGCTGCACAAAGGCAAGATCCCAGAGGTCGCGCCGTCGTACGACCGGTCACACAACTCGCCCAATGTCAAGAACGGTCACCCGGCTTCGCCAGCGAACGCATCCCCGCCATCCTACCCCCAGTCACAGGCCTCCAGTCTGCATTCACCGAGGGAGCACAGCAACAGCTCGACAAGTCGGCGGACTTCAATGCAGGGCACGTCTGCGGCGGGACAACAGAAACACGCAATGTCGATGAAGCGGAACTACGACGCGATCCCTGGGTTAGAGTACCTGGGTCTGGCAACCGACATTCTCGGCAACCAGAACGGCTCATCGCTCTTGCGACAGGTCCAGGCCAACATCTTTGTGGGCTTGTATTACGGGCAGCTAGGGTATGTCGTGCCGAGCCTTAAGTACATTGTGGATGCCGCCTGGACGGTGCAGATCTTGATGCGCAAGCATCTGGCACGACTCCAAGACATGACGTCGCCCCCGACCAAGATACTCGACCACCTTCTTCTCACGGCCTTCTGGACGTGCCTACAGCTAGAGAGGTAAGCGAGGCGGAGAAGTTGTCGTTGCTCGAGTTCTGCTTACTGACATGATTTGGGTAGCGACATTGTTGTAGAACTGGCCCTGCCTCGGTCTGGCATCTTGTCCTACGAAGATGGCCTTCCTTACCCGAACCTCGCCCTCTTCGAAAGTGGCCCGAGGGTCTCTGCTAGCTATGGCGCCCAAGTCTATCTGAGAAAACAGCTCAACCTGGTGAGCGCCAACTTTTACGACGAAACCCCCAGTTCGGGGCCCGACGATCAAGAGGGGGTGCAGACGGTGTCTGAGGTGCGCGAGACGATCCGAATGGACCCGACGGCACAGCTCTCATGGATCCCCTCCATGTTCAGGTTCTCGCCGGACGACCCGCCTGCCACCGACATGCTGGCGGCACGCCTGCGCGCCAAGTACTGGGGTTTCCAGGTCATCACCCTACGACCCTTCGTCAAGATGATGCTCGATTACACCTTTCGACTGAAGGAAAACGACGTGTCTGCTACTGCCATGTTTGCCGAGACGAAGTTCAACAAGAATGTCCAGACACCGCACATTGCCGCCGGCACAACCTCCCACGCAGATATCAACCCCGAGGTCATCAAGTACGCCCGCGAGGGTATCCGCGCGCTCGTCCAGAGCACCATGGCATTCCACGGCCTCGGCGAGGGCCGACTGATCCTGACCAACTTTTTTGGAACCGCCATGGCGTAAGTTGATGATCCCTGAGTTTTCTTTGTGCCAACTTGATCGACCTGAAGACTGACCGCTGTCGTTCGTCTAGCCAATGGGGCAACCTGCACGTCCTTGCGGCCTGTCACGAAGATCCATATCTTCATCAGTTTGTTGACAGCCAGGAACTGCGAATGCTCTTTGACAAAACAATCGCCTGGATCAGCCTTGGTGTGCAGCCGTCCAGCTCGCTGTCCATTGCCATCGGCCTGCTCGAGGGTGTTCGCGACCGCATTTTCCACGGCGACGTGTCTCGCAGCTTTTCCAGCGCGGCTAGTGGGCACCCACGCTCGGTGCATCACTCACCCGTCCAACCGATGCACCAGCGCCTCTCACCTCAAGGCATGAACGAGCAGCTGTCGGTCCAGCCTCAGCAGATGCCCTTCCAGCATCCGCCCCAGCACCCGATGCGGATGTGAGTGGATGACGCAGAAACCGCGTTCGGCTTCTTCACTTCGGAACACCAGCACCACGATATGCGTTACGTACGGCGTCTACAGAGAGGAAACCTTGTTCTGTTTTTTTTTCCTTTGCTTTTTTCAGATTTGCATTTCCCGTATCGAACGAACGACCCAGCTCGTTGGAACGGGGACATTGTCACAGTCATCAGCGACATGGGCCGCGACGGTCCGTCTCGGCATCAAGACTGGGGAGTAGTCGGCGTTATTAGACGTCGCACATGGGTGGCAGACTCGAACAATATTGGGTCAGTCAGTTTGACATTTGGGACTGCACCGGCGGCTTTGGTGAAGGCCGTCCTCACAAAACCCCGTTCGCTCTCGGTTTCGGTTCGTGTCTCCTAAGAACATGAACCGCTACCGACATATACGCACAGCGACTGTTATCCATTTTCTGTACCATCACATAGCATACACGAGGCACTGACCAGGTTGGCCATGATTCATCTCGAACGGTATCGGTTCGCCCGCAGATTTTTTTTGGATTTCTTTTCTTTTTCCTATCTCTTGTTTAGTGGTTTTGTTTTCTTTTTGTGGCCGTGGATGGGGTATGCCATTCTTGTGCCCGGCCTCGGCCCTTAGCATGGAGGCGGGGTGGATGAGGCGACGGCCAATGACCGACAAGAGCTTTGGGTTTTCCCGTTCGTTTTAAGGAGGGACTTGGAGGAGATACCACAACAAACACCATTGGCGAACGGCGGCTGGATACTGGAGGAAAGCACATAGGATAGCTTGGAGGAGGACAGGAAATGGGTGATGTAAGGTATTGTGTTGAATGAGGAAAGCGTTTGGGGTGGCCTGGCTGCGAGAGCGAGCGGTACATATAGGAAGCTTGCTTTGAGTGATGGTCTACACTGCGATGACCATATAGTTCTCGATGCTAGCTAGAGACTGGGGCAGGAACACGACTTGAAGACACGTTGTTCATCTCGGGGTTGTCTCGTTTGGTGCACTCGTTGGCCCGTCTCGTCTCGCTGCGTGCTCGTTTACCAGTCAGGTGTCTGCTCGCCTGTTTATGCCACTTTCGCTGCGCCGTGCTGGTAGAAATCCTCGCCCCACGGGCGGGGCGGGGAGGGGGGGGCTCGACGGCCTCAAAGCGGCACGACGATCAGGCACAGCCAGCCGTCGGGATAGGCGGCCTCGCGCATGAGGTCCTCGACGGGGGCGGAGAAGGGCACGGGGGCGCCGTGCAGGACGACGGCCGCGAGGACGGGGTCGCGGCTGCTGGGGAAGAGGGCGGGCAGCAGGGCGCGCAGGACGTGGCCGAGGCGCTGGGGCTGGCGCGGCGTCGCGGGGTGGCGCGGGGGCACGGGGGCCTGCAGGACGCGGAAGGTGCCGGCGGCCGAGGGGATGTAGAGGCGCAGGGGAATGTGCTTCAGCGGCGTCGGGGCGTCGAGGAGGTGCGCGCTCACGCGGGCGAAGGCGGCGTGGTCGTTGTCCTGGACGGCGTGCCAGAGGGTCGAGGTGTCTGCTTTGGAGAGGGACATGATCCGCTTGGCGGTGCCGTAGCGGGTGAAATCGGCCTGGGGAGGGGGGGGGCGGAGGGAGCGGTCACGTTAGTCTGGTGGTGGCTGCCTGGGGCCTTGGGCCCGGTTGCGATGTTGAGGGTGAGGAACGTACCTCCTTGACGCCGTTGAGGAACGTGTCGGCCATGTCCCAGCTCGGCCCGTCGCCGACGGTGAGACGCCAGGGGAGCGGCGGCGCGTAGAGGTCTACGAGGAGGCCGAGGGGCAGGTTCCGCAGCAGCACGTCTTCGTGGTGGAAGCTCGAGATGGGCGTGTCGGCGTCGTGGAAGAAGGCGGAGAGGCGGGGCAGCAGGAGGGCGAGATAGCTGAAGCGGGGCAGGTTCGTGACGAAGGGGTTGTTGGGCTGCGAGGGGTGGGTGATGTGGAGGGGAATGGTTTGGGACCATAACGTCTCTGCTAGCGAGGCCATCGTGGTGTGTCTGTGTCGTGTTGACGGGCAAGATGAGTGTCGTGGTGATGGGCAAGGTGAGATATCGTGGTTGTTTCGTTCAGAAGCGCGTTATACGCCCGTCCTGCCAGGCTGATTCTTTATCATGTCAAGAACCGTTGGAGTGAGATGCGGTTTGGGTTTTCAGAGAAGCATGCTTCCCATTCCTTGTTGGACGCACAATGCAATGTGTTTGCTATCCTACGACTGGCCAGTCACTGAGTCGAGGTTGTGATATGACACCGGGCAGGCTGCCATGCCCCTGCTCGTCAGGTGAGGTGTGGTGACTTGACATCCTGTTAAGCGACTATGAACTGCGTTTTGGTACAATGCTTGTAAACAGTACAGTCAAATGAACGGGAACCTCGTGCCAGGCTCACCATATGGCTCATCGTGGCGCACCGATCTTCACCAGATCAACAACGACAAGCCATCGGGCTTTTGAATCCCATGTCACATTTCAGCCCAAAACCTTCGGACATGACACGGCCAATCCTGGGACCGACACGCCCTCATCACACCCCGCCAACCAACACCCCATGATCACTAATACCCCAACGCAGCCGTATCTCCACTTTCCTTTCTTCTTCCCACCCGCAAAGTGCGCAGACACGAACAGAGAGAAGGAGAGAGAGAGAGAGAGCGACAGCGCAAACGCGCATCACAACCTCGTTTGCGCCCCCATGTCACCCCCCCCAGCGCATCTGAAAAGTGACAGGAAGGAGAAGGAAAACTCTTGTCTCCTGACGAATGTCGTGCGCAGCTGAAACACCCTCTTCCAGGGCACGATGCATGGCCAAGCGTCGCGGCAGAATTCTGGTCACCAATTTTGGTGTCGGTGTCGAGGTATCGCAATGTATCTTTTTAATCCTTCTTGTCTCTTTTCAATCCTTCTTGTCCCTGTTGCGGGCGCGCATGTTTACCATGTGCGTCGGACTAGCTCCACATCTGTCGGGCGTGTGCTGACAAGAACCTTCCCCCCCCAATAACGCCTTGAGGCAGGATGCACGGATTGATGCAGCGTTTGGTGATGGATGGCGTGGTTATGACGACATGGTCACAATATAGTCGTGTCATCATCGCATTGTCCTGGAGTGCAAGAACTTTGTTGCGTAGCACGTGAAGATCAATCAAATTGGCCATCTACATGCTTCCCGCGGTGGACAATTGTCAGGATTAACTCGTGAACTCATCAGGTGATAGCTATTGGTACATTCATAGCAGCTAATGGATTAGAAAAAAGCCCCCATCGCAAGTAAACATTAATATTCGTCATTCAGCCAAATCAGATCGCTCGCGGGTTCACTTCTCGTGACCACCCGTTTACAGTCCGCGGTGGACCTCCTGCGCGGTAGCCCTGCTGTTCCTGCGGGCCCGGTCGTGGCCATGGTCGTCGTGGGCAATCTGAGGAGCACCAATGGTCTGCTGCAGAACCGAGGGAGGAACCTGGGCAGCATCGGTGGGATCCCGCTGTGCGTAGGACGTCGTGTTGTCTCTTTACAGAGAAAAGGAAAAGAATGCCAGGTCAGTTTTCGAAGTCCATAGCAAGAAAAGGCAGCGCAGCAGCCGGTGTGGTGACCGCGGCCTGGGTGGGCGCGTCAAAGTGAGGGACAATCTTACGAGGCGTAGGTCTTGTCCTGGCCGACCGTCTTGGAACCGTCACGGTCAGAGTCGACACGGGGGTCGGCCTTGTTCAGGAAGTCCTTGCTGTGGGGTCCAGCCGTGTTGGGAGCGGGGCCGGGGTTGACAGAGCTGCCGAGGCCGGAGGTGGTGTTGTCGTAGCCAGTGCCGGTGGTGCTGCTGCCGTAGCCGGTGCCAGTGGTGCTGCTGCCGTAGGTACCGGTAGTGCCGCGGTGGTCACGGTCAGAGTCGACGCGGGGGTCGGCCTTGTTGGCGAGGTTGCTGTCGTGGGGGACAGTTGTTGGTCGAAGTGTTGCCGTAGCCGGAGGAGCCAAGGCCGGTAGCGCCAGCGCCTACACCGGTGGCACCAAGAGCCGATACCGCAAAAACCGGTGGTAGAGCTGCCGTAGGTGCCAGTGCTAGCGCCGGTGGTGGAGCTGCCGTAGGTGCCGGTAGTGCTGCTGCCGTAGCCGGTACCGGTAGTACCGCGGTGGTCGCGGTCAGAGTCGACGCGGGGGTCAGCCTTGTTGGCGAGGTTGCTGTCGTGGGGTCCAGCGTTGGTCGAAGTGTTACCGTAGCCGGAGGAGCCAAGACCAGTGCTGCCGTGGGTACCGGTGGTACCGTGGGTGGTAGAGCTGCCGTAGGTGCCGGTGGAACCGGTCACACCGCCAGCGGTGCCACGGTTGTCACGGTCAGAGTCGACACGGGGGTCGAGCTTGTTGGCAATGTTGCTGTCGTGAGGGCCAGCGTTGGTGGAGGTGTTGTCGTAGCCAGACGAGCCGAGACCAGTGCTGCCGTGGGTACCGGTGGTACCGTGGGTACCGGTGGTACCGTGGGTAGTGGAGCTGCCGTAGGTGCCGGTGGAGCCGGTCACACCGCCAGCGGTGCCACGGTGGTCGCGGTCAGAGTCGACGCGGGGGTCGGCCTTGTTGGCGAGGTTGCTGTCATGGGGGCCGGCATTGGTGGAGGTGTTGCCGTAGGTCGAGGTGCCGTGGGTGCCGGTGCTGTGGGTGCCGGTGGTATCGGTGTTGTGGTGGATGCCGGGGTTGCCGGTGGTGCCGTGGGTACCAGTGGTGTACGCATCGGAACCGGTGTGAGTGGAGTCGTGCTTGTCGTGCTTGTCGGAGTGGACAGCGTCCTTGATCTTGTTGATGAGGCCAGACATGATGGATGGTTTTGGTTCTAGTTGAGGATGGTTGTGGGTAAGGGGTATTGGGGTATCTTGAGAGAGTAGTAGAAAAGAGAAGTTGCTTTGGTAGGCTTGATTGGTTTTGATATCTTATGATGAGGAGAAGAGGGAACAGTCGATGACGAGGAGAGAGGGGTACTGGATGTTATATAGTTACGAAGGCTCGGGAGGTGGGGTGGCTGAAGCGGGTTTGGAGAGAGAGTGTGTTTGTGTGACAAGAGGTAGAGATGTGATGAGTACCTAGGTAGGGGGCAATCGTGATGGACGGGGTCGCTGGCCTTGCTGACGGGTCGCGACAGCAAAGTCACGGCGTGCCTTGATTTGGGCCAAAGGCACATGCATGGGGGTTGCTGGATCCATTGCCTGGCAAGCCTGTCCTGCTTCGGTCGATACACACAGATCCAGCCGGTTTGTCCCTCGTCCGCTGTCTGCTGTTCAGCTTTGGTCTGGTCCGGTCCGGTCTGGTCTACTCTCGTCTCATGTCACCACATGCCGCTCGCCTGGTCCACCATGATGCGGCACTCCCACTATCCCTCTGGCGTCATCGGTCTTGGTCGGGCAAGGAGAGGGGGGATGGGGGGGGGGGGGCCTCCTGTCATGCTTGTCCAGGCTGGCTGCAGAGCTCACGAGCGTATGGTACCTTAGGTAGGTTACAAGCTTTGGTACCCTGTCGACACCGGTGCTTCTGGTCCGAAGCAGATTAGACCCCTGTCGAATCTGTCAGGCTCTTGGCGTTGTGGTCAGTTCTGGGCTGGGCTGCCCGGAAGAGGTGGAGACCATCACGCCCGATTCCCGTTTACGGTTCTCTGGGGAGGGGCAGCGTGACGGCTGGTGAGGGTTCCTCATTGCGCAAGGGGGCGCTTGAACGTCGTCATAAGTGGGAACCGTTTCGGGAGCTTGACAAGCAGCGTTCCAAAGCTTGAAGAAAGGACAGATCATAAGCGGAGCGATGAGATGAGTGGCGATGTGGCTGGTGACCCTCCTGGTGCGACGACGAGCGAGTCTGGTCTGGAGCCACAGATGAGCTTGTTTGGGACACGGGCCTAAGTGGAGAGGCCTTCCTTTCTTGGAGATGAGGGCAGAATCGGATGAGACAGCATGGCCAGAGCCAGAGCCAGAGCCAGAGCCAGAGCCAGAGCCAGAGCCAGAGCCAGAGCCAGAGCCAGAGCCAGAATCAAAGAGGGGCCTGTACACGCCAGCCGCGCGTCGACGGACCAGTTCTGTTCCCCGCACACGAGGCTCGGGGATCCATCTTCTGTGTCATTTCGGTACGTGTCGTAGACGGAAAGCCAAGACGTCTTGGTACTTGGTACGAGAGGCCAGGCAAGCCAGGCTCCAAGGTAGACGCCAGGCTGGAGGCAGAGGTCGAGCTCAAGCTGCACAAGGCGCGAAAGAGATGAGGTGAGGTCAAGGGTGGGGTCTGTCTCAATGACGCAAGAGCCGCCGGTGGGAGATCCGCGGGCTCCACTGACCCCGCTACTCGACCGCATGCCTCTTGCCTCTTGCCTCTTGCCACTTGCCTCTTGCCTTTGCCAGACGGAACGAACGCTGGCGTGTGCTAGCATGTGGCTGGTGCGACCCAGCTGCTGTGGCGTCACCTACCCCACAGCATGCCGTCATGGACTGCCACGCACTCATTACGACATCGAGATCGATCTGGGGACTGGAGCAGGAAAGAGGGGCGAGGGCGGGCAAGCACGAACCAGGCAAGAGGAAAGCAAGACGCAGGCAAGAGGCAAGAGCTAAGCAAGCTCTCCCATGCTTCGCAAACATGGGAAATCCATAGCAACCACATCAATTTCCCACCCCTTCGCGTGACTGCCCGACAGATGCTGGCGCCAAACCCCGCCGAACCTGCCCATCCAAGCGGTTTGTAGAAAAGTTAGAGAGAGCCTGAGTTTTACTCTATTACGTTGCTCTAGCTTGTTTTTCTT